CAAACTGGGCTCTGGTTTCAGACAGAGGGTGAAAAGAGGTGCTGCAGCACAGACAGTATGAGAACAATAAAGAGCTTTTTGAACATTAAAGCATGGAGACATGTAGAGACACTACATACTGATATACACCTGAACATCAGCAGGAGAGGACTCTTTAAAGTAGAGACACTACATACTGATATACACCTGAACATCAGCAGGAGAGGACTCTTTAAAGCAGTAGAGACACTACATACTGATATACACCTGAACATCAGCAGGAGAGGACTCTTTAAAGTAGAGACACTACATACTGATATACACCTGAACATCAGCAGGAGAGGACTCTTTAAAGTAGAGACACTACATACTGATATACACCTGAACATCAGCAGGAGAGGACTCTTTAAAGTAGAGACACTACATACTGATATCCACCTGAACATCAGCAGGAGAGGACTCTTTAAAGTAGAGACACTACATACTGATATACACCTGAACATCAGCAGGAGAGGACTCTTTAAAGTAGAGACACTACATACTGATATACACCTGAACATCAGCAGGAGAGGACTCTTTAAAGCAGAGACACTACATACTGATATGAATTCTGAAATGAGCAGAATATCTCCTGGCACTGGTTGGTTTCACACCTTGACTTTTCCTCTGACGAAGCTGGCCCCATCCTCCTTGTTCTCGAACACAGACAGAGAGTGCAGCAGGTTGTGGACCAGCCAGTCCCAGTGCTTATTCACCTCCCCTATAGCGGCTCCTGGGAGAGAAACAGATACAAAAGTAAAGGATATAACAGCTGTGAGTCATCTAATGACGCAACTGAGGGCAAAGAAAAACAAAGAAATCAAACCAGATATCATTATATGAGACTGTACTGTATGTCGTCTTAGATTTCGGATTACACACCAAAAAAGTGTTGTCATTTCCTGGATTTAAATGCTGCATTACAGATACAATATGTACCATGCAGTATTGTTATAATTGTTATATTATTTGCCTTAACCAACCTGTCATTATTGAAACACATTACTGATGATTCATATCCAAGTATCTATTGTGTTGACCTACATTTAACAAAAGCACCACAAGTCCATTTTTTTATTTAAAAAGCTTATTGCCATTTGCACAACAGCTACAGCTTGGTTTTGGCAATGAAAATCCTTAGCCCAACAATACAACATACAATATGCGTAAGACAAAAATTTAAATTGTGCAAATAAAATGCATTTTAAAAAATAAAATGTATACAAATATGGTAACGTTAAATAAAAAATGAAATACTGTATGGTGGATTTATTTAAAAAAAGATTAGAATTTGGGTTTTTGTTGGATATTTTCTAATATTAGATTTATTTTTGTGTATCACCCAGCCTGAGTTTCTCACCGCTGGCGATGACCCAGCTGACCTGGGACCCGGGGACCTGCAGCAGGATGCGGAAAGGAGTGACTCTGGCGTTAGAGTCCAGCACCGAGTCCAGCGCCCCCACCAGGAGACCTGCAGAGGGACAACAGGACGCAGAGACATGAGATACAAAACAACAAAACCTGCAGTGAGAGGTTCAATCTGTGTGGTGGAAATAAAGCAGAAATAAGGGGGTTATCTTGCATGTAAACAGATTTGTAGTGATGTTAAAAAAATCTCTATCTGTGTTTTACTTTTATGTATGCCCCACGACACCAAGTCAAATTCCTCGTACGTGTCAACAATAAACCTGTTTCTGAATCCATTCCTACAGCCCGCATTTTGTGGAGCTAACTTCAAGCTGATTTGAATATAAATCTCACGTTACAATGATATCAATTTGGTGCTGGTGCTAAAAAAACATTTATCTAACATTAATCCAACTCAAACAAACCACATTGAAAGTATTATTACATCCAGTGGTGTAGTGGGGATTTTTTTACTGGGTGGACCTCTGTGTCGCTTGTCAGCGCAATTTACATGATGCCGTTTAGACAATATACTAATAAAGCGCGGTGCCGTTGTCAGCGAACCGATCCGGCCTTTCTGCGCGACTATCACTCAAATGCGGGACATAGTCTCAATGTGTGGGACGCGGGACAAATAATAAAAATGCTGTGTGTGCAGTCCCGCACAGTGCGGGACACCCTACACACACGGTTCTGCCCCTCACACACACAGTAATCAGCAGGAGAGGACTCTTTAAAGTAGAGACACTACATACTGATATACACCTGAACATCAGCAGGAGAGGACTCTTTAAAGTAGAGACACTACATACTGATATACACCTGAACATCAGCAGGAGAGGACTCTTTAAAGCAGAGACACTAC